CATGCACGCTTTCAGAGAAGTAATAATTGTTTTACCGAATTTTCATTGTTTTCCCATTATTTGTTTATAAGTCATTTTAAAAAAGATTAGTGTAAGCTTTTGCTGTAAAAACGGAATGCAAAGGTTTAAAATGAAAAGCAAGTCCCTCTCTCACCCTGCCTCCAGTGGCCCTAGAAAGTCAGTCACTATTATAATTTGCATACTCCTGGGAATAGTTTATAAATACAAATGAATCTTGAAGATCATTCTGTCTGTTTCTATTTGTTTCATCAAAATACTAAAACCTTGGAGTCTGTTCTTCATACTTTATTAAAAGTAGAAGCAAATGGCTGTGTTATTTTCTCAGTAAGTTTATATGCTGGCTTTGCCTGATATGAGAGAATAAAAATATCTTTCCATAAAAATAATTTATGTAATTAACCACTGACATAAATAGGCATGAGGAAAGAATAGAACTTTGAGGTTTATCTATCCTTTGGAATGCAAGGCCAAACAAGGACTATAAATTTGCAGCTTTTCAGTGGAGTGAAAAGGCTAAAATTGGACTTCTATTTTTAAAAGTTGAGGCAAGGGATGGAAATACTTTTGAGCACAGGAAAGTATATTTAGACTAGTTAAAACACACAGATTCAAAGCCAGCAACGACAGAATTAACATTTTACCTGCTTAAGGAATTAATTTTAAAAAAATCCCAAGAGGTTAGTAAAATCTCTTTCAGCACAAAAGAAGTAAGCTTGTAAATCATTACAAATAGAATAAAACTTCTCAAAGTGAGAATGCAGTGTTGTTGTTGTTATGTGCCATCAAGTTGCCTGTGACTCATTGTGACCCCATGTATAACAGCCCTAAGCGTATTGTCTCTGACACACCTTCCCCGTCACCCAGTTACTGAATCAATCCATCTCATCTAGGATCTTCTTCTCTTTGGCTGTCCCTCCACCCTCACAAGCATGATGTCTCTCTTCAAGGAGTGGTCCCTCCTTACAACATGTCCAAAGTGTGTTACACGGAGCTTCAGAATCCTTGGCTCCAAAGAACAGTCTGGTCTCACCCTTTCTAGGATGTACCTGTTTGTTTTCATAGCAGTCCATGATACATTGAATACTTTTCTCTAGCACCACGGCTCAAAGGCATCAATTCTTCTTCTGTCATCCCTAGTCATTGTCCACCTCTCTGATGCATACGAAGTAAATGCAAAGACTGTGGCCGGGACCACATGCACTTTAGTGTCCAGAATGGCATTGCTCTTCAATACTTTGCAGAGTTCTCTGACAGTAGACGTTCCTGATGCAATTCTTCTTTTAATTTTCTGGTTGCTGGTACCAAGAGTGTTGATTGTGGAGCCAAGGAAACTAAAGCTGTTAATAATCTCAATCTCTACATCATCTATCATGATGCTGCCAATTGGCCCAGTGGTGAGAATCTTTGTTTTCTTCTTGTTGGACTTCAATCCATATTTAAGGCTGTAGTCCTTGACTTTCTGTTAAGCAAGCACTTCAGGTCCTCCTCAGTTTCAGCAAGCAGGGTTGTGTCATCTGCATAACCTTGTCTGGTTTTATATTCATTTATTATAACTCAAGGAGATCTGTCTGTCAATAAGTATTCTTTTACCACATTGTATATAAATAAATACTGCATATTCTGAAACTTCCTCAGGATCATAATTTATGTAACTACTTTTCCAGTCTTGCATATTGGTCTTTGGTTCCCTTGCACCCCTCTCTGTAGATCTAACTTTGTATTAAACCATGTTTTTTCCCTTCGGATCAATTTTAGGATCTAAATATTTGAGACCAATGTGGTAAGAACATTTAAAAAAAATAAATTTGGTTATTTCCAGTAAAATGTTTTTTCAGAAATACTTCAGTAGTTTGTAGCTGTACCCAGAGGGCCTAATTCTTCAGGGTTTTCCATATATCCAGGTTGTCGAGAGCCCCCCTCCCGTTACTCTGCCACTCCCACATTGCTGTTGTTCAGTGCTGTCTAGTGGAGCACAACTCATAGCAGCTTTATGAACAACAGAACTCAACCTTGCTCCGATCCATTCGCATCATCTCTGATACGCTTGAGCTTTATTGTTACAGTCACTGTGTTGATCCACATCAGCATGTGAGATGGTTTATGTGAGGCGAGGTTTCACCATCTTTGCTTCAAAGGAGACTCTCGTTTCGCTTTCTCCAGGACATGTTCATTTGTTCTCTTGACAGCCCATGCGACGTTCAGTGCTCTTCTCCAACATCACAGCTCCAAGGCATCAACTCCTCTTCGGTCCTCCTTTCTCAGTCCAGCTTTCAGATGCATTACTCTCAGCTACGTGGCTTTCTCAGAGAACCCATGATTCAGAATCAATTTTGTGGCAGTATTACATGGCTTACCCAGTACCTGTCTCTTGATTTGTCCTACTGTAGTGGTTTGCACTTTACTATAATGTGCTGCTGGCTTACTGATATGGATTGGCTGCTACTTCAAAGGCATATGGTTTGAATTATCCATCTACTCCACGGGAGAAAGGAATCTCTTCCTGTACAATTTACAGCCCTGAAACCCTGCTGGAGGGTCAGCTGTGACTTGGTTCCAGCTTCACAGCACGTAACAACATCATCAACAATAAAAGCTAGTGGCTTCTGTTGTAGACCTGGACTGACATCAGGGTTGGGGTGAAACTGAGAAAGATTGGATAAATTATGTATGCTACATTGAAACGATGAAGTAGAGAACTGTTTAAAAGCGATACATGATTGGGTATTATGGTCATGACTAGAATCCAGAATGAAGGTTGCATAGTGGAGTGGACTCAGTGATGGGGGCATTGTATAACAATGAAAGAATTTTTCTTTTACTTTTCAAAGAGAAGAGCGAACTGGGAGGGGAGGGGTTGGCAGGGAGAAAAATGCAACAATGAATGAATGGAAATCCAAAGTCTCTGTAAACGTTCATTAACATTAATAATAATTTTTTTAAAAAAAAACCCAACTGGTGGCCTAATGATAAGGAGCTGCAATGCTATCCCAAAGGCATGCAGTTCAAATCCACCAGCTGCTCTGTGGGAGAAAGATGAGTAATCTCCTCCTATTAAACTATGTCTGAAAATTCACTGGAGGTTCAGCTCTCAGTTGTTCCCGACTTGACAGTACACAGCAACAGCAACAGCAACAATGCTGCTTATAGTTAGTTCATCAGGACAATCCTAGTGGATGTTGTTGTTGTTGTTTTGTGCTGTCGAGTCGCTTGTGACACATAGCGACCCTGTGTACAACAGCCCTAAACTCTGTTCTGTCCTGTGCCAATAACACTGTCTCCGACACACCCATCCTAATTAACCCAGTCACTGAATCAGTCCACCTCGTAGAGGGTCTTCCCCTCCTGCGCCGTCCCCCCATCCTCCCAAGCATGATGTCCCTCTCCAAGGACCTGTCACTCCTTACAGTATGTCCAAAGTATGTCAGACGAAGCCCCAGAATCCTTGCCTCCAAGAAGCAGCTCAGTTTAACCCTCTCCAGGATGAATCTGTTTGTTTTCTTGGCAGTCCATGGTACATTCAATACTCTTCTCTACCACCACAGCTCAAAGTCATCATTTCTTCTATCCTTCCTAGTCACTGTCCAACTCTCTTATGCATAACAAGTGATTGCAAAGACTGTAGCCTGTATCAGATGCACCTTAGTCTCCAGAGTGACACCATTGCTCTTCAGTACCCTGGATAGGTTTCAGTAAAGCTTCCAGATTGACACTTGAAAGAAAGACTTGTTGAACTACTTCTTAGGATTAGAAATTTGAAAACAGTATGGATCAAAGTAGAATAGGATGCAAAATAGTATTGGAAACCATTAAGTCATTTTAAATATAAAAATTATACTGCTAAATAACAGAAGCCTGAAAAGTGTACGTACCATGTAATGTAGTAATCCACTTTCACATGTTCATCTTCTGGAAATAAATATAGATATGGATAAAAATGTCTATGACAGCACTAGTTATAGTCATGTGACAGTGTTGTTATTGTTTTTTCTTGATCGAATCAAGCACAACTCATAGTGACCCCATGAACAAAAGACCTGAAACCTTTCTATAACTGTCATTGTTTCTCAAAATTTATAATTTGCAGAGGCATGTTATTTTAGAAAGTGGATGCTGCTCCTGCTTCCAAAATGAGACATTAGAAGCATTGCAAATGCCTTGAGAAGAAAGAGGTTTATCAGTTAAACTGTGATATAATAATCTGAGACCATTAAACATGTTGGAAAACCTGACAAAATATGCACATTGTATTAGGGACAAAAGGAAAATAGGTTATCACATTGTATGTTCACTTTTTTACCCCTTTTCCCCCTTCCTGGAAGCATATTCCTAATAAGTAGAACAGAAGATATTAACACTAAAATGATAATAGTCCCCTTTTCGAAAGCCCACGATTAGGGCTTAATTTCTTTTTCTATTTTTGACATTTAATATACCAGTTACTTTCTACATGGAACACTTTCTGCTCACTTTTCTTGCCACCTCGTTTTGCAGGCTGCTTTCTTTTTAGTTTTTCTTCCCTGCTCTGAGTATGAGAGGCTTGGCGGTTTGCAGAGAAAAGAGGCAATGATGTTTGAATATGGTAAAGCTAAACATAGAAACCACAAACTCAGTGTATACTAACTTGTTTCTCCTTCTGCATACTTTAAATTGCACTTTCTAACCTCATTTATTACATTTATAAATGTTACACTTTCCTGAGTCCTGAAATGTTTATTTTACTGAAACAGTGGGGGGAAAGTAAGTGATATTTATGCAGGCTCTTGAGAAATATCTTTGCCTTGTATAAGCTTAGAGTGTGAAAAGAAAGCAGGTGTTCCTTCCGCTTCCTAGGGCCCAGCTATTGTCAAAGAGAAAATGCTCCCAAGCTGTTCATTCCTTTCCTGTGAGCCCTTAAGAGAATATACTCTATCTGTACCATATATTGGTTAAATAAATACTTCCAAAGAGCTCATGTTCTTTTTAAAAAATTCCTTTTTTCTAGATATAAAGACCTGAAGATACTCTTTCACGTCCAGAGATGGAAAACAGTACTACTACCATTTCTCGGGAGGAGCTGGAAGAACTACAAGAAGCATTTAATAAAATAGGTATGCTTGAAGAAAACAAATAGAGTGTTACTGTTCTTCTAGCTGGTAGACTTCCAGGAATGGTGGATGGTCTTCTATTACCACCTCCTCCTCCCAGTTACCCCAAAGCTTTATTCTTTTTTCTACTCTTTTTCTCTCTAGGTTTCTCTGTTTTGGTGGTGTTTTGTTGTTTTGGTTTTTTTTTTTCTTTCTTTCTTTCATTTTTGGAGAGATAAGGTTAAGAGTGGCTTGAATTTCTAGGTGAATTGGACTTTGAGTCTTTTGATCATTTCTTTACAGAGAGTAATCCAGGTTAATGAGTGACAGTGTAACTGAATATGCCTCATGTGGTATACTCACAGCCGAGGGGGAAAAACCCCAGAATACTTCCTTGTGCATGAACTGAACTCTGGTCTTTACATCTCTGCCACTAGTAAGAACACTTTCTGACTTCATACCATGTATTTTTTTAAAAAATTATCTTTTTTCCTAATTTTTTAATAGATATAGCTGTAGAGACAAAAACAACACCACATCTTGGTTATTGTTTTTAAATGTGATATGTCTGAATTTTCTTCTCTCCCATATAGTTTGTACTTGGAAAAAAAAGTATGTCTTCTTTTTATTTTTTTAAAAAGGTTCTTGTTTTTTGCCTTTGGGACTTTTTCATTTTGACAGCTTTGTATTTTTCTTCCAAAAATTTTCCTGCTACTCTGTTAGGTCTTGCAGAGTCTTCTGTATTTTGCTCTTAAGTACCCTGTGGCAAAGGATATATAAATAGCATTTTTTGCTTTAGTTTAGAAGCATCTGTGAGGTGAACTCAGTAAAAAGTTTAAGACAAATAGACGTTGGACATTGACACCACCATTCTTGCCTCTTCCTCAGCAGATTTCTTGTTACTCTGGGTTCTCTAAGGAACAAACCCAGTGAAAAATATATGCATGTGTGTGTAGTGAAGGGAGAAAAGATATTTCCTCACACACTGGTGGAAGCTGGCAACTTCCACATCTATGGGTCAGGTGTCAGGTCGTAGGCTTCCTCTGAGTCTCATGGTTATAGGAGCTGAAGAACTCAAAACTGGTGAGACGGCTGACTCGTCCCATGATCCAAAGACAGAGGAGGGTCAGTGGCATGCAGGCTTGAGAAAAGGCAGGCGAGCTTGGCCAGAACATCCATGTATTTTGAGTGTAAGCCAAATTCCCAACGACCCTTTATTTTATTTTTTTTTTAATAAAAAACAAGAACAAGCTCTGGCCAGTTTTATTACAGAAAAATATTGCCTGGTTTCTTTTTTGTTGGGCTTTTTTGCTTGCTTCCAGTGATTTCAGAGTCACCTGGATCCTTGATTGCCAGTTATGCATACTCTGAATATTTTCTGTCTTCTCTGCCCAATTGACTATTACCGTCACTGTAGGGATGGATGATGGATATCAGTTTTGGCCAACACGGTATAGTACTCTTTCTGATTTCCTCAAGGCTGAGGAGTTATTGATGAGGGTGATCGGTTATACCTGCCTTGTCTGGTTATCTGGAACGTTTGCTTATAATGCAGCACACATTTTCCAGTTTTCATCATGAGCCTGGAGTTGATTAACCCCACTGATTTTTTTTCCTTCTTCTTTGTGGCCAATATCTTCCTGCCTCGGGTGCAAAACGGCGCTCATGTAATTAAGAGCAGCCACCAAGAGGTGGAGAGAGGAAAAAAAGCTGGAAACTCCATTTTTAAATGATTGACTGTTCACATTAGATGATAAAATTGGAGAATGGTTACATAACCTCTGCCAAACTGCTGAGAAGCATGGCCAGGCCAGATTCCTAGCAACTTAAAAGGCACACTCCTTCCTTCCTGGGATACTTTACTGCATGAACAAGCATCAGATGGTGGACCAAGGGAGACGCCATGTTCTGTGTGTTTTTTATTGGATTCATTTCTCAAATCTGGTGAAGAGCAACTAAACTTAATATAGATAAAACAATACAACGCAAAACGATTTCAACTTGAAAAAGTAAAGCTCCCCCGCCAAGCCGGGTGAGAGGTAAAGTCCTTAGGAAAGTCATGCTTTGTGCGAATCACTGTTGTGAAATCACATGAAGCCCACAAATCTGTGGATCCATCCGGCACAGCCTTCCCAGAGTCACTCAAACATCTTGATTTTGGCCTTTTTAAAATTTTTATTTTGACTGCATAAGTATTTGTCATTATAGCACACATTACAGGAATATGGTAAGAATTTCAGAAAACTGTTCTTACAAATGTAATAGATGCATACAAATGTATGCAGTGCTGAACAGAGCATTGCCTGAGTCTCTCCAAGATGGAAACTGGAAAATCTGTGCATATCAAGCATTGCAACAGAGCAAATAATAAAATGCCTCTCCCTGTTAGATATTCCTTTTGTCTTATAGGTACAGTTTCATAGCCTGGATTACAAACAGTACCTAGTAGGGCTTAGTAAAATGAACACGTTATTAATTCTTAGCATGACATAATTAGACATATGCTGTTGTGATTGTCATGTACATGGTTGAGTTAGAATCAACTCATGACTGATCCTCCAGTGGGTTTTCAGAGACAGTAAATCACAATGGAGTGGGCTGCCCATCTTTCTCTTGAGGAGCACCTGATGGATTTGAACCACCTCCATTGGCATTGGCATGGCAGCTCCTTACCACTAGGCCACACGAGCTCCCTTATTAACATGTAGTCTTGCACTATTTATTTAATTATGTTTTTACTCACTTATTCCTTGGTGGAAAATTTTGACAGTCCACTATTTTCTCTGTGGAAAGGTTGAATTTTCTAACAGGATGAAGCGCTGTCATTAAGCTCAGGAAGCCCTCAGCTAGTTTGTACAAAGTGACTTTTCTCAGAAGCAGAGGGACACATGGCCCATACATCCCAACTAGATGGAACTTTTGGGATCACTTGGAACAAGTGGAAGATTAAAATAATCCTCAGTCTTATTTCTTAAACTATAACCTTGGAATGATTATTTAACTTGAGCATTTTGTATCCTTAAAATTAAAATGATACTTCTAGGATTTCATGCAGTAGGTCAAGTTTTTAACCTAGTTTAAAAAGTATATTTTATAACAGATAATACATCTATATAGATATATGTCTATAGGGAGCTCTTGTAGCCTAGTGGTAAGAATCTGCACTGAAATCCTGAAGCATGCAGTTCCGATCAGTTAGCTACTCCATGGGAGAAGGATGGGCAGTTTCCTCCTGTGTCATTAACTGCCTCTGAAAACCCGCAGGAGAGACAACTGTGAGTCATTTCTACTCAAACCCTGCTCTATCCTGTGCCAATCTTATTGTCTCTGACACACTTAACCCCATTACCCAGTCACTGAATCAATCCATCTCTTTTAGAATCTTCCTCTCTTACATATATAGATATATATACACACACACACATATATATACACATATTGTATACATTTACAGTGTGTGTATGTATATATATTGTTGTTGTTGTTGTATACTGTTGAGTCAGAACCGACCCATCCCTGACCCTCCGATGGGTTTTCACAGGCAGTTAATTGTGAGGGGAGGAGATTGTCCATCCTTCTCCTGCGGAGCAGCTGGTGACCTTGAACCATGTACCTTTAGGATTGCAGCACAGCTTCTTGCCACTCATCTATATAATCTCAGAATATATACTTGCTCATTGAACTTTCTATCTATTCAGAGCAGTCATCTGAATGGCAGCTAGCAGCGACATTATTTCTTGTGATGTCACACCTAAACCACAGAGGTCAGAAGAGATGGACCTGGAATTTCAGCCCCCAGCTCTGTCTTCAGATTTCTAGCTCTTGAAAAAGTGCCCTTTGGTGGCCCAGTGGGTAAAGAATTGCGTTGTCCAACTATAGTTGAATGGATTCAGAAATTATGGTACTCATACGACGGAATATTATACAGCACACAGGAGCAATGATTTTTGAAAACCACTTCCTAACTTGGGAGTGTCTGGATAGCATCATGCTAAATGAACTAACTCAGTCCCATTAGGACAAATTCTACGACCATTATTGTAGAAATAGAAGGGTAACTAGTAAAATGTGTATGAGGATCCAAAGGGAGGGAGGGAGGGTCAGAGCAAAGGGTGAGGATGGGCAGGGGGTAATGACAGGTAGAGGGAGTGGTGGGTAAAGGAAAGGGCAAAGATCTGGAGTGAAAAACAGTGCATATGAACTTTGTGAGTAAACCAATATAAAAGAAAAATTTTACTTAAAAAGAAATCACATTGTCAACCCAGAGGCACGCGGTTTGAATCTACCAGCTGCTCCTGAGAGAGTTATGTAGTCTCCTCTTGGACAGGGCACAGCCACTCAAAACCTGCTCTATGAACAGGATCCAGCTCCACAGCCGTGAGGGAGGTAGTTAGCTCTTAATCATTCACGGCATTTTATCACCATCATTCATATCATCTTATTGCTGTGGAGTCATAACTGAGTCATAACCTGAGCTTCTGCAGGGTTTCCGAGACTACGAATTGCATAGGAGGAGATTGTTCACTTCCTCCCATGGGCCCTCTGGTGGATTGGAGCCATCAGAGAAGGGCGACCTTTGGGTTAGTAGCTCATCTCTCTTGTGGACTGTGTCCCCAGAGCTCTCCAAGATGATAATGAGCCTTAGTTACTCATATCCTCTCATCACAGCTCTGGTGTAGAAAGGAGCTAGCCTCGTCCATTTCAAAATTACGTTGGAAGAGATCCTGAATTAGTGGTATACTAATGATGAGGTTTCTTTCTGAATTCAAGGAAAAATTATTATTATTAATTATTACAATATCAAACAAATTAGCTTTCCTGCTGACTTCTGAAAGCATGTTTTTGTTATGGATGGAATTTAGGTGAAAAGATGTGTACAGTTTTGAACAAAATTAATGATGAAATTTGCAAATGAGAACTCAAAAGAAAAGTTCCTGTTATTCTTACTAATTCAGTTCTAGTGATGGTTCCTTTACTGAGTTGTTGTTATTAGGTGCCCTCTAGTTGACTCTTTGAACAACAGATCTGAACTTTGCCCAGTCCTGTGACATCTCCCTATTCTGATATGCTCACGCCCATTTTAATAGTCACAGTTTCAGTTCATGTCTTTGAGGGCCTTTCTTTCTTTCGCTGGCCCCCCACTTTCCCCAGCCTGTCTTTCTCCGAGGTCTGGCTCTTTCTGACAACATGCCCAACGTATGTAAGATGAGATTTCATCATACTTCCCCAAAACCAGACTTGTTTGTTCTTTTGACCCCTAGGATATTCAGTAATCCAACACCACAGTTCAAAGGCGTTGGTTCTCCTGTAATCTTTTTTTATTGTCCAGCTTCCAGATGCATAGGACAATTGAAGATATCAGTGCCTTACTTTAAGCACACCTTAGGCGTTAAACGGATATCATTGCTCTTTAACACTTTGGAGGGATCCTTGACAGCAGGTTTTCACAATGCAACATGTCTTTTGATTTTTGACTCTTGGGTATTGATTGTGGAGCTAAGTAAAATGAAATCTTTGACAACTTCAGTCTTTTCTCCATCTATATTGACAGTATCTTTTATTCCATTGGCGAGAATCATTGTTTTCTTGTTATTGAAATCAAATCTATATTGAAGGCTGTATTATTTGATCTTCTATAGCAAGTACTTCAAGTTCTGCTCACTTTTATAAAGTGAAGTTGTATTATCTGCTAGAGCAGGCTGTTAATCTTGATGCCAACTACAATCCCAGAGGTGCACGGTTCGAATCCACCAGATGCTCTGCCAGGGAAGGAGGGACAATCTCCTCCTGTACCAGTCAGATCTGATTTGATGGTACACTCACACAAAAATAATAAAAATTAAAAAAAAATCTTGATGCCACATTTCTTTTTGCATAGTCTAGTTTCTTAAATGATTTTCTTAGCTTACAGATTGAAGAGCTATAGAGAAAGGACACAACCCTAAGGCACACCTTTCTCTATTTTAAACCATGCATTGTTCCCTTGCTCTTTTAGACAATGATATCTTGGTCTAGGTGTAGATTTTGGATGAGCACAATTAAGTGTTCTGGGATTCCCATTCTTCTCAATGTTATCCATAATTTTTTATGATCCACACAGTCAACTGCCTTTGCATAGTCAATAAAGCACAAATAAATAGTTTCTTAGTATTCTCTGGTCCATCGGACATCAGCAATGCTATCCCTCATGCCACAACCTCTTCTTAATCCAACTTGAATTTCTGGCTGTTCCCTATCATCATGCTATTTTAAATAATCTTCAGCAGTGTTTTATGTGCATATGATATTAATTATATTGCTTGATGATTTCCATATTCTGGTGGATCACCATTTTTGAGAATGGGAAAAAATATGGATCTCTTATAGTCGGTTGACCAGGAAGGTGGCCACATTTCTTGGTTTAGGTTAGTTTGCGTGTGCAGTCAGGATACATTAATAAGAATTGGTGCCTGGAATGCAAGACTGGAAGCAAAGAAGGATTGTTGCTGTTATTGATTGCTGTCGAGTCGAGCACGACTCATAACGACCCTATGAACAAAATACCTGAAGCCTTTCTATAACTATTGTCGCTTCTCAAAGTTCATCGTTTCCAGAGGCATGTTGTTTAGAAAGTAGATGCTAATCCTGCTTCCAAAATCCAAATACTAGTAGTTGGAATATACAGACTTGCTGACAGAAGTGTGTCTGGAGGCCAGATGCTTGAATTTTGTATAATTAATGATTTATTCATTTCAAATACATTCTTAAAAAATCACAGTGACTATATATATGGACCTCACTTGATGGACTACCCAGAAATCATATTGACTACATATGTGGAAAGAGTCGATGGAGAAGCTAGATATAAACAATCAAATCAAGGCCAGAAGCTGACTGTGGAACAAAGCAGTCATCTCCCATGTGAACTAAAACTCATGTGTTAGTTCAAATTAGAGTTGAAGAAAATGAAAATCAAGCCACAAGAACCAAAAAATGACCTTGAGTCTATTCCACTTGAATTGAAAACCATCTCAAGAATAGATTTGATGCATTGAGCACTCATGTTCAAAGACCAAGTGAGTGTGGAAGGGTCGTCCATGAAGAAAGCAAAAGGTCATTACAGAGACAAGGGAGGAACACCAAAACAAATGTCAGAAGAGAGTCTGAAAATTGCACCAGGACACAGAAAGGCCAAAACAAAGGGAGGAAGTGCTGAAGTAAAAGAAGCTTAACAGATTCCAGAAGGAAGCCTAAGAAGATAAAGTGGTATAAAGAAATGTGCAAATAACTGGAGTTAGAGACTCAAAAGGGAAGAACAGACTTGACTTTTCTGAAGCTAAAAGAACCTAAAAACTGAATTCAAGCCTCATGCTCTAATACTGAATGATTCTATGGGTAAAATATTGAATAATGCAGGAAGTACCAAAAGAACATGGGAGAATGTACAGAGCCACTCTACCAAAATGAATCAGTAGAATGAATGGAACCATTTAAAGAATAGCATATGATCAAGAATCAGTGGGAATGATACTAGATGCTCAAGCTGCACTTAAGGCATTGGCGAAATAGAAGGCTCCTGGAATCAAAGGAATACTGACTGTCATGTTTAATTTTATTAGGAGGAAGGTTTAATACTGGAAACAAAGCAACAACTACCAGAGGAGCCATGGGAGCCTATACGAAGTGGATCCTGATAAAACAATCAATCCAAGCTCCCTTGCCAACTCTGAGAAGAGGGATTTTCTGGGACCTTGATTTTGTGTCTAGACATTCCATTCCATTGTGACCACTTTTAGGGAGGGTTGAGGCAAGAGTATGATGGGAGTGTACCTGGGAATTCATTTCCCAGAGTCCACATACAGTTATGAAATGATTTCTCAAACACTTAATCTCAAAATTATGTCAAGCATGATTCAGTGTGCATAATGATATCATAAATACATAATGAAGAACCAGTGAATTATTGATGAATGAAATAGACCTGTCGTTAAATGAAATGCAGAATAGGAATGTCTTGCTTGTACTTTACGTGATACACTTATTTTATATGGAATGTGAGGCCAGCAGATCCATTTTTTAAATTATCATAAAGCAGTTAAAATTTACATGGGGTATCCTTGCTTAACCATTGTTGGTATATTTCTTTTAGATATCTGAAAAGGAATTCTTTGAAACTTAAGTCATTGCTAAAGGATTTTCCTTCTGTCAGAGCAATGTTCATACTGTGTACTTAAAGAAAATATATTTATGTATGTATATGTATATGATATATATATATATGTATATGGTTTTATGTATGTGTGTGTGTAAAAAGACCAAAATTATTGTTATGAAGTGGATTTCAGTTTACAGCGACCCTAGATGAGAGAGTATAGCTGTCATATATGATTTCCAAAGCTGTAAATCTGTGTGAGCAGAATGCCTCATCTTTTCTGGTGACTTTGATTTGTTTGGGAGCTGAGTACTTAACCTGCAAAGCCACTAGGACTTCAATAAAATGTGGTGTTGTTGTTATGTGCCGTCGAGTCTCCTGCGACTCATAGCGACCCTATGTACAACAGCCCTAAATTCCGCTCTGTCCTGTGCCAATCGCACTGTCTCTGACACTCCCATCCCAATTATCCCAGTCACTGAATCAATCCACTTCATAGAGGGCCTTCCTCTCCTGCGGTGTCCCTCCACCCTCCCAAGCATGATGTCCCTCTCTAAGGACCGGTCTCTCCTCACAACATGTCCGAAGTATGTTAGACGGAGCCTCAGAATCCTTGCCTCCAAGGAGCCACCCGGTTTAACCCTTTCCAGGACAAATCTGTTTGTTTTCCTAGCAGTCCATGGCATTCTCAATACTCATCTCCAGCACCACAGCTCAAAGGCATCAGTTCTCCTTCTATCCTCCTTGGTCATTGTCCAACTCTCTGATGCATAACAGGTGATTGCGAAGACCATGGCCTGTATCAGACGCACCTTAGTCTCCAAAGAGATACAGTTGCTAAATTTAGGGGGATAACCTCCATTTGAGTAGGAGTATTTTTATAAAGTATACAGCCTATTCTGTGTAGGTTTGGTGCGTAAGAGATTACTGTTACCTCTGAAACAGGAAATGTATAGCTGCGAACACCCCACCCCACCTCCTTAGTGTGCATCTTCAACAAAGAGTACTCATAGTGCTTTGTTTTTCTGCTCATAATTTATCTTTACAGATATAGACAACAGTGGGTATGTCAGTGACTATGAACTTCAGGACCTGTTTAAAGAAGCAAGCCTCCCTCTGCCTGGCTACAAGGTGCGGGAGATTGTGGAGAAAATTATAGTCGTTGCTGACAACAACAAAGACGGCAAAATCAGCTTTGAAGAATTTGTGTCAGTAAGTTCCCTAATCCTCTCTTGGCTACTGTTGATGTTGTTCAAGCAGAATGAGAGTGATGCACTTGTTTGCTTTGATAAAATGCGAAAAAACATGGCTTGAAAGTTATGATGTTGATGAGAAAATAATTTCCACAGAAAATGTATAAGGGCAAAAAAATAACAGTCTGAAATTGCAGGAATGGAAGTTAGGCTAGACTAACAGTGATTCCTGCCCTAGGATATACCATGCACATTGAGTATCTCTGTTTAGAGAATATTTTAAGACCTTATCAGAAAGGTAACAGCAATCTAGAAGTCTTAGCAATTGGCCTTGAAAAATATGTGCTATAATTTTAGTGGTTGAAGTGTAGAATATGTGCCTGCCAGAAACTGGTTACTTTCTCTGATAAAGAATATCTTCTGTTTCAGTGGGTGCCACCAGGTGAATTTTGATGCTAGCTATGGTAGCTTTGTTTCATTGTTAAACTACCCTCCAGGCTCAGGTAACTGAACAAGGTGAAAAATAATATGACTCAATCAATAAAAGAAAAGTAGACTCTGGAACTATCATGTATTTCAAGCCTCCCAGGCCCAGAGAGATGACAGCTAAGTTGCCATAGCTCACTGGCAGTAGAACAAGGACCATTGTTTTCGTCCGTCTGGCCTGTGGAACGTTCTCACCACTATTACTGTCTTCATATGAAAATATAGCCATTAATATAATAATAATATATCACTAGAATATAATTAAATATTTATGAAATATAAATTATCTGATTTGATGTTATTTATGGAACAAATATTTGAACCTTTTTCTTGGCAGGAACTCTGCCCAGTGAGTAATGTATGTGCTGAGCAAAAAGAGATGTAGTCTCTGATTTCATCGAGTTTACATTTGGTGGGGAAGACAAAATCACACAAATATATAAAACATGATGTTGCCATAATTGCTATTAGCCCCTCAAAAGTTTGTAGTTAGAGACATGGAAAGTGATTGGAGCTGGCGAGTCAGGGAAAGAAAGAAGGTTAGCTGAGATCTGAGGAAAAATGTTAGAGTTAAAGAAGAATCGAGAAGGAGACTTGAATAATGACCCAGGAACGTGGAGGAGACAGTACATGCAAAAAGCTCGGTAGATGCCAGCATGCTACTCAGGTCAATGCAGTTGGAGCTGAGGCAGTAACAGAAATATCTTGAAGTAAATTGAGAATTTTTTAGCTTTTATACTAGTTGCAATGAGAAACCAATGAAGTGGTAGAAAGAGAGTTTGAATTGACACAAAAGTTTCACTTTTAAAATAATCACTCTGGTTGCTGCAGAAATGGAGAGTTAATTCAATTCAGTCTGATCTGTTTCCAGAGAGTTCAGTAAGAGCAGTTTAGATTTCTATTACAGAAGTCCGTGGCATGATAAAAAAGGATAATTTCATTGATCTTTTTTTTCCCCTTCTTTTTTAAAATTATTATTCATTTCAGTGAAAATTTAGAGACTTTGGATTTCCATTCATTCATTGTTGCACTTCCCCCCCAACCCCGTCCTCCCAGTACACTCCTCTCTTTGAAAAGCAAAAGAAAAATTCTTTCATTGTTTTACAATCCCTTCCCCCATGTCCACTCCACTATGCAGCCTTCGCTCTGGGCTCCCATCATGACAAAAGTACCTAATCACATATCCCTTTTAAACAGTTTTCTCCCTCATCTGTTTCAATGCAGTATACATTAATGAACCCATCTTTCTCAGTCTCCCTCCAACCCCGATGTCAGTCCTGTTTTACAAAAGTGGCACCATGCAGTATTTGTCCTTTTGTGACTGAGATACTTCACTCAGCATACTGTCCTCCAGGGTCACCCACTTTGAATAATATTGCATGAGTTCCTTGTTTTTCAATGTAGCATAGTATTCCATTCTATGAATATACCAGAGCTTCTCTATCCATTCGTTTATTGTTGGGCACTTAGGTTGTTTCCAGCTCCTTTGCTATTGTGAACAAAGCCGCAATAAACATGGGTGTGCATATATCTGTTTGGGTGTCAGTTATGGTCTCTTTGGGTTATATTCCCAGTAGTGGAATTGCTGGGGCAAATGGTATCTCTCTTTGCAACTTTTTGAGAAAGCGCCTTACTGCCTTTAACAGTGTTTGGACCATTTTACACTCGCACCAGCAGTGAATAAGGGTTCCAGTTTCTCGACAACATCGCCAGCATTTGATACTTGTGTTCTGTGAAATTTTGCTATTCTGACTGGGGTGAGATGATATCTCATAGTTTTTTATTTGCATCTCTCTTAGAGCTAGGGATTTTGAACATTTCTTCATGTGCTTGTTGGCCATCTAAATGTCTTCTTTGGTGAAGTGTCTGTTCAATATCCTCTGCCCGTTTTTCAATTAGAGTGTTTACCTTCATCTTGTTGTGGTGCTCAAGTGTTTTATAAATTCTATATATAAGTCCCTTATCTGACATGTCAATATCAAACACTTTTTCCCAGTCTGTGGCTTCCCTTTTTACCCTGTTGGATAAGTTTTTGGATATGCATAGGGATTTGATTCTTAGAAGGTTCCATTCATCTATTTTATCTTCTCCTGGTTGTAAATTTTTCAGGATTCTTGGAAGACTGTTTTTGTTATGGATTAGGACTTGTAGCATTCTTCCAAGCTTTTCTTTAATGAAGTTTATAGTCCTTGATTTCAGTCCTAAGTCCATGATCCACCTTGAGGTGGTTTTTCTATTTGGAGTGAGGTGTGGATTTTCCTTGACTCTTTTGCAGATACTTTTCCAGTTTCGCCAACACCATTTGTTAAAAAGGCTGTTGTTTCCCCACTTAACTGATTTAATCTCCTTGTCAAAGATCAGTTGACCATAGATAGATGGGCTAATTTCCACGTTCTCAATTCTATTGCATTGATCTGTGTCTGTCATTGTACCAGTACCATGCTGTCTTAACCACCACAGCAGTGTAGTAGGATTTGAAATCAGGGAGTGAAATGCCTCCTACCTTTTTTCTATTTTTAAGGAGTGCTTTGCTTATTCGGGGCTTCTTTCCATTCCAAATTAAACTGGAGATTGCCTTTTCCATCTCGTTAAAGAATGAACATGGCATTTGTATTGGGATTGCATAGAACATGTAAATTGCCTTTGGTAGTACTGCCATTTTCACAATATTGAGTCTTCCTATCCATGAACAAGGGATATACTTCCACTTCTCCAGCTCTATTTTTGTTTCTTGTAGTAATGTTTTGTAATTTTCTTTGAATAGATCCTTTGTGCTTCTGGTTAGATTTACTCCCAAGTATTTAATTTTGTGATTCGCTATTGTGAAGGGTATTATTTTTTTTTAGCTCCAGCTCTGTATTCTCTTTGTCACTGTAGAGAAATCCAACTGATTTTTGTATGTTGATCTTATATCCTACTACTTTGCTGAATTGGTACCCTGTGTCCAGTAGTTTTCTTGCTGAGTCTTTAGGGTTTTCTAAGTATACTATCATATCATCTGCATAGAGAGATAATTTACCTCCTCGTTGCCAATTTGGGTACCTTTTATTTTCTTCTCTTGTCTTGCTGCTATTGCTAAGACTTCCAATACAATATTAAATGAGAGAAGTGATAGTGGGCATCCTATACTTGGACCAAGAGGCAGTCGTCAGAACAGAGCAGGGTAACACTGCATGGTTCAACATGGGAAGGGTGTACGCCAGGGATATTTCCTATCTCCATACCTTTTCAACCTGTATGCAGAGCAGATTATCCAAGAGGCTGGGCTCTATGAGGAGAAGTATGCCATCAGGATTCGTGGAAGATCTATTAACAATCTGCATTATGCAGATGACACAACCCTGCTTGCTGAAACTGAGGAGGACCACATGCACTTGCTGCAGAGGGTCAAGGACTGCAGCCTTCAGTATGGACTGAGTCTCAATGTCAAGAAGACAAAGATTCTCACCAGTGGACCAATTGGCAGCGTCAGGATGGATGGCGAAGAGACT